GGATAGGAATATACCTAATCGCCTTGCTTGGTTATTATACGGGAACTATAAATGCGTTCTTGTTAATCTTAATTCCATAGGAATATAGGCGTTAAGTTAGCTTGAATAGGCGAGTTGTACTTCGGAGAAGGCTACGAGCAATATTAACCCCGTCAACCAATAAACTAGATAAATTAATTAGACAATTTAGGTAGAAAACTCGACGGGATTGTTAGCTAACCCATAGCTCTAGAATATTCACTCACATTGAATTCGGCTTTAAGTTTATCGTTATTTTCTTTAATCTTTTTATTTGTTACTCTAGATTATCTTTAGTTAAATATTCATACTTTGGATTCACTTGAATAGATTAATTGTTTGGTTTAATTTAGTTGATAGTTAATCACAAGTTTATGTGGGTACGATATCTGAACTTACAATCCTATATTACTTATCGACCACGTATACTTGCGTGTGCGTTTGGGAGCAACAAAAAAACAATGCTATATCGTAAAAGATTTTGCTCTATGAAACTGCATATATGATATGATATGTAAGATCACAACTAAAGAAATTGCAATGCATAACCTCTTAGCCAAAACCCTTAAGCTAATATCTTGCAAGAACAAAAAAAAAAAAATCAAAAGTTGGGGCGGGGCATAAGCCTCATCTTTAATTTTTTAGTAGTTTATAAATTAATATGTTCAGATATAAATAAAATAACATGCATAAAATCATAAAACTTAAGTAATTAAAAAAAAANACCTTTTTTTTTCCTCCCAAGCATAACCCAAGGACCTTTTTTCTTTTCTCCCGACATAATATATTAACATAAGAGTAAACGTATTAATATATAACTAAATTATGCTCTTGCAGTATTAGAATAGAATTTTATATTCTTTCAGTATTAGAATAAAGTTAATTTAGACCAGTCAAGAAATTATAAAAGAAAATAAAAGACTTACTTTGGAGAAATTATTTTAGAAAATAAAAGGTAGAACCAATTAAGAAATTGAAAAAATCAAAACATAAAAACATACCATGATGAAATAAAAAGACGAAGAATAAAAATTTAAGAAAAACATACATGAGTTTAGCATCTGGTGATATAAGGCAGTGAAATGGGATGTTGTTGCTTTTCCAATGAGCACCTTCTGATTTCTGAGGAGAAAATTTAAAAAACTTTTCCTCACTTCATATGAAGGGATGCCTAAATTTTTGCTTTTCTTAATATGCAAGGCGCCAGAAATCTTCTCAGTTGGCTATTTTTTTTGCAGTATCTTTATGAAAAAGAAACTGGAGTACTAAAAAAGGGGATGAACAGAAGGATTAATTAACTTTTAAGTGTTATCATTATCTTCATATTTGTAACGTTTCATGTATAGCAACCATTGTGTTCTTTTTTTTATTTTATTTATGGCACCGTTACTTCTTCAGTCATAACCCTCAATAAAGAGGTATAAGTTATGGGGTGTAAATTTTTTTTAAAAAGAATTAAAAGGGAAAAAATGAAAGAAAAGGCCAAAAAAAGGAGAATTAAGATAAATAGAATCCCTACACAATGAGAGATGCCACATCAGCTTTCTCATTCCCAAATTTATATATATACTAGTAAATTTATCTGCGCTTCGCGCGGTATATAGAAATATAACAATTACTTTTCTTCTCTAAAAAAATCGATATCAAGATAAAATTTGCATATACATAAAGCTAATTTCTCAAATAGTCATTCAACTTGGTGATTTTACCTAGCAAAATTACTGTTCTTTATTTTAGGACAAAAAAGTCACTAACTATTCATTTGCTTCTCCAAAGTCATACACCACAATAAACTGCCACATAATTTTTTAAAGATATATATAATTATATAGGACTTTAAAATCCAAAAGTTAATTAATATAATAGAACTCATTATATTGATTTTAGTTTTATGACTTACCTCTTCTTTCACACATGAAAAATTTACCTTTAACACATAAGAGATCTATCTTTTACACATAAGAGATCTCAAAAGGCCATTTTCTTAAATTTAAAATTGTAAAGGAGCATGATGTACAAATAGCACCTCATTAAATGCTCCAGTTCAATTATTTTTCAAATTTATTATATAACAGAATTATTTGTCAAGTTGAAAAACCCTTGAGGTACATAATTTTTTTTCGAAAGAAGAATAGTGGTGAAAGAAATTAAAATTAAGATTCAAATCGGTAAAAATAAAATAGTAGAAGAAAAACTGTATTATATTTTAATTTTATATAACTCAAAAAATTACCTAATAAGTTTTATGCAATTTTTTTAATTTTATGTATTTATTGACATAAGTAAAATTCTCTTTTTCTATTAAAAACGACTTTTACGGTGGTGTATAACTATCGGAAAAATAAATAAGTAGTTTAGTAACTTTTTGTGATAAAACAAACAAAGGTTTTGGTAGGTCTATTCATCAACTTGAGTGACCATTTAGGGAATTAACTTCGCTTACATGCATACAAAATCAGTTTTATAAATTGATTAATCACAAAAGTTAATTCTTTTTCTATTTACTCCAAACACTCTCTATATCATCGATTGACATAAAGTCATAAATTCGTGAACAAAGACTTTCATATTATAAGATGATTAACGTAAAGTTGGACAATACATTTAATATGACACTACCTATCGAAATTTTTGTCTCAAAATTGATCATCAAATGTTTGATTTCTTAGAAACACTTATATGTTGTAATTTGTTTCAGAAGATTATTTCAAATAACGTTTAGCTTTTCTTAGTACTATTATAAAATTCTAAGAAAAAACATTATACTAAATTCTTCAAAGATCTACAAAAGTATACAAAATTTAGTTTTGTAACGTGCAGACTAAGAAATGTTAATTAAAAGAAATAAAGGGAAAAAATGTCAATTCAGATAAACAATTATAACATGCATCTGATTTCTAGAACATAGTGATGAAAGTTTTTCGCACGAAGCTATCTATCAAACATACCTTCCCGCGGCACATTAATTATGTTATAGATTTGCTTGTCTGTTTTTGCTTCACCTGCATTTAGATAATATTTTCTATGAAACTTGAGAGCACAAGCAATATTATCTCAATACCAGATTTATACTTCAAGAAAATACCAATATGAAATGCTGGCTATTTTAAGAGAGATTGAAGAGTGCGCAATCACAAAGTAAAATCTAAAATGAAGAAAAACAAATACAAAATTATTTCGGAAATACAACTTAGAGCCCGTTTGGGTTAGCTGATTTAGAGTAGCTGATAAGCATTATGTACTAAAAAGCACTTTTAGGTGCTGAAGCTGATTTAAAAAATAAGCAGTTACGTGTTTGGATAAAAGTGCTGAAATTAATAATAAGCAGCTGATGAACTGGGTATAAAGAGAGTTTTGTTTTAAAATGAAGTATTTTAGGGATAGGATAGTAAATATTTTGGTCAAACCTAAAGTGCTTATAAGCTAAAATTTGATAAGCTGGGGGAGACCAACTTATGGCTTTTGGCTTATTTTTGGTTTATAAGCACTTAATTTATAAGCACTTTTAATTTTACCAAACGCGTAAATAAGCCAAAAAGTGCTTATAAGCCAGTTTGACCAGCTTATAAGGTTAGCCAAACACCCTCATAAAAATATCCATGTCTATTAAAGCAAAACAAACCCGAGAAAGAGAGCTATGGAGAACACAGAGGGTGAAGAAAAGTTATATATATATATATATATATATATATATATATATATATATATATATATATATATATATATATACTTGAAAGGAATTAGATAACCAATTCAATTCAATTTAATAATTAGAAAACTGAAAATAATAACTGGCGTGGTTTTGCATACTTAAGGTTGCTAGAACATGGAATTAAGACATAAAGAGGCCTAAACAATTGAATCTGAAAAATAAAAAAAAAGTAAAAAAGGACAAAAAAAATAGATTTTTTGACCAAAGAAAAGTGCCAAGTCATCACTACTATTCCTAGCTTTATTATTGAGAACATGCAAAACAAACGGACAAAAATATTCAAAAGAAATAAAATGAAAAGAAACAAAATAATTGAGTACAGTCAAATCATAACAAAAACAATTGAGAATGAATCTGATTATGTGTGCATAAATTTAAAGGGAGAAGGCAGAGCAGTTATTTTTTTTTTTTTTTTTGTGAGATGTGAGAATTAAGAGGTGTGTTATAAATGTGCTTGGACCTCTTCATGTTATACCGTTTCATATCTTATACACGATCCCACATTAATTGATATGTAATTATAGTTGGAGCCTGGAGGAAGAGGTGGACAACAGTTACAAATAATTATTGTTGGAAGTCATTTAAAGACGTGATTAAATTGAGAAACTGAATCAACAAAAAAATAAGGAAAAAGTTCAAAATTATGAGAAAAAGGGTAAATTATCATTCGGGTTAGAGAGACACGCCACATCACCTTTTACATTCCCAACTTTATATTTATATATAGATATAGATTGTTGAGATTGGTTTTGGTGGTTACAGCTGAAGCAAAAAAGTTAGAACATAATATAGTATGTGACTATAGGTGATGCATAGACAAAGATCATATCAATGTAAAGGCAAGAAGAAGGTAAAATTAAAAAAGTTCAAGTGAGGACGAGTACTTCTATCTGAATTAAGTGGTGAGAAGGTATAATAATAATAAAATATTCTGCAATAAATTTTCAATTCAAATGTAATTTTATAAATGCATTATCTTTAAGTTGAAGTCAGTATCTCGATAATCAATTTGTGAATATAGATTTGGAAATTAAAATATATTAAGCATTTTAATGTTTAGGAAGAGTTAATTATTAAGGCTATCATTACTTAAATTAACATTCATCATCTTTTGAAAATTAAATTTTTTCCACTAATTTTATTTTGTAACTCTTACACAACTTTTTATGTGATTTTCAAAAAGTTATACAAAAACTAGTTATTTTGATAAGCACAAATGAAAAAAGCACCCCTCTTGGCCCCCTTTAGTACTGCATATGTTCTCTGGATCTCTGGAAGCAGTCAACACTCAGATTGAAAAGCAACAATTATCCCAAACAAAGAATAACAAAACAAGAGGAAAATAATGTATTTTCAGTAACATGACTAAAAGTTCCTATGAAAATTTTATAATATCTAAGCTATACTCTTTATTCCGAATATCAGAAACGAAAGAGTTAGGAATAGGAAATGAAAAGAAAATGGCGAAATAAATTTTCTCAAGGCCTCTTTTTGGGACGGGGGATAAAAGTACCCCTTGAAGAGAGAATTTCATTGGCCTTAATTGAGGGAAAGTATTTTTCGCAAAAAGAAATTTTTTGTCCGGTTTTCCTTCTTTTTCATTTGCCTTCCGCGCTTTCTAAATGAAGGTTTAATTAGTGGCTTCATAAATCAAGTTTTAATAGTTGTAATGTGCTTCATGAGCATGGCAATAACATCAGGAGATACTTCAGAGGCTGCTTTTTTCAGACGTTGAATTTTTTCGTCAGTTTCTATCTCAAGCCTCTTTTCGGTCGAGTCTGAGCTTCCACTTGTCTGCATATTAATCACATGAAAAGTAATCAAATACTAATATTTCCTTACTTAAACTAAAAAGGAATAAAATTTTGCTTATCTCACTTAACTTGATTGAATCCATTATGGATTAAATAAATCCAAGTAAATATATCCACAAACATTATGCAACTACTATATAAACCTTCTTACAAAAACTCAAATCAGTATTGCTTTCGTTTAACTATATAATAATATAGAGTTTCTATTAGTATTTTGTATTCATTATGATTCTGATAACTAATTCCGAACCAAATCAGCTTATTCAATCTAGCAGAAAAGAAAAACCTCAGATAATGTCTTTTTGTACTCAGCTTCCAAATGCGAACGATAATTCGCCACTTCCATCTCAGCTTCTTCTTTTGCTTGCCGCAACCTTGTCATTTTAACTGTAAAATTTCAAATGTATAAGAATCAGGACACATTAGTTTACGTTCAGATGTTGGATATGTGTTAAAAAATAATATAAGTTATAAATAATAGAATTTGAACCCGGTAAATATTAATAAGTTTATGTAAAATTTCAAGCTCGAACTTATAATGTTCAAATCTTAGATCCGCTTCTGATGAGAATCCTTAAAATTCATGGAGAAGAAGAAGTTTTCCAAGTCATAATACACTGAAAATTTACCATTTCTAGCAGCAGAAACTATTTGTTGGGCTTCCTGTTCAGCAGTGAGTAGCATTTGAATGCCTCCTTGTCCTCTCATTGAGTCCATTTACAGCTACTAAATCTAAATACAACAAGGCAACAATAGAAACAAAAGAATTGGTGTTCTATGTACGAACGTGTAAAAGTATTTCAACTATCGAATCATTTTATAAGATAATTACAGGTAATTTTAGTAATAATTGGTTACCTGGAAAAAAAATTGTAATTACCATGCTAGTATAGGTTAAATTACACTTATTATGTAAATATAGTTATTCGTTGGTGTATATAACTTAAACTATTTGAAATAAGAGTAGTTTTTTTCTTAATAGAAGGTGATAAATCTAAGTGAAAAAGCAAAAAATGGTAGTGCGAAATTTATTTGGTTCTCACTATTAGCGGCGGATCTAGGATTTTAGATCTATGGGTTCAACATTTAAAGTTATGAGTTCATATTTACTATTTATTGCAATTTTACTGATTTTTTATAAATAAATTTATGCTCCGCGTTAAAAGTACTGGGTTCAATTGAACCCGGTGGTTCTATACGGCATCCGCCCCTATATCTGTAAAACTCGGTTTGAGGGCTTGCATAACACATTCTTGGTGTTTTTTTTTAATATACGGAGTAGGAGAGTACCAAATTTTGTTCTTATTCATTTTTGTATTTTTTAGGTCATATATTATAATGTCCACCAGATAAAAAATGGGAACTCAGTTTTGCCAAATGGAATAAATCAACACATCAAACAGAAACAATTTCCTAATTCCCTTTTCCTCATTATTTTTGTTTGCAATTAATACATCCAAGGAAAAAGATCTGAAAATGTTTCTCGTCTTATAACTGTACGTGAAATTGTACAAACTTTAAAATCTTATGCACTTAAACTTTACCTATAAACACGATAAATCAGTCAGATGAAGGAGTTAAATGCAAGTTGAGCTACCTTAATCATATATGCCCATAATTGAGGTCAATCAAATCGATAAGAGAAGGAATAATATCGAACTATACATGAAAGATTCACACAAAAACTGGATGCCTACTTTGATGCCAATATAGCTAAACATTACTAGAAATCTGCTTCCTGTTGACGTTCATGTCAGAACGCCAACGGAAGTCTGAGATTTCTGACAAAAATTTGTTGGAAACAATTTCCGACGAGCACAATTCCCTTCCATAATAAATTTTGTTAAAAAAAAAAACGTGCTTTTAGTGATTAAACATATTAAAGCAATTAATTGTTTATATATGAAATAGTAGTCTGTTTCTTGATTAAAAAAATTGAAATATGTACCTGAAACAGTTTGTGTTAGAGTTTGGACCAGAGGAGAGTTTCCTTTTTGAACAGGAAAGATTGGATTTGGATAGGAGGAGAAGGACTAACTGGGTGGGTATGATTTTAATTAAGCTCCCCGTACGTATAGGGTTCTTACTAATCCTTTGTCCTGGTTAATAGGATGGTTGTTGCAACATATGAATGAACTCGGTCAACACGAAACTGTGAATTATCGGGTTTATATGTCAACTAGTGAAATTTCCCGAAGCCGCTTCGCGCAGTTGCAAAAATTACGATGTAAACACCTCAAATACAAGAGAGAAGAACCAATTGTAACTTTTGACTAAAATGAGAGGAAAAATTGCAAAATAATTAAAAAAAATAAAAAGACAATAGCCATTACTCCTCCTTTTTCTGTATTTTTTTCTTCTATCCGTTTTCTCTCTCTTTTCCACCTTACCTGTTATAAAATTATTTCTTTTTTGTCTTTTTCGATTTTCTTCCTTTTCCTACTCATGAAATTTATCAAATTGAAACAGAAAAAAGTTTTCCTAACGTGGAAAAGAGAAAAAAAAAAATCATCTCACAAATTTAGACTCATAAAACATACATTGACAATATTGGCAATAAATGCCAAGCACAATAGAAAAACAAATAAAAGAGACATCACAAAGCATGTTTTCTATTACCTTCCACTAAATCTAATATACATCAAAGTTTTTTGACATGAAGGTCGTCTATTCTTAATATGTGCCATATTTCTCTTGCAATAACTTGAGGTTTCTTTTTCAAAGAAATATAATATATTATTAAAATAAATAAGCAATGTATAAGTTATAGACATATATAAATAAAGGAGACTATAATCTAATACTAATAAATATACATGAACAATTATATGGACTTGGGGCTAGCAAATGTCTCTACTTATGTTACGCACTGATCACGCCCAACTATGCTTTATAAAAAAGAAAAAGCGGTCGCTGCACATATATTCCGGTTAACAGTCCGGAGTTGAATCCCACAGAGAATTAACCTATCGACTACAACTATTGGACTCACAGAAATTCATGTATTCAATATTCAGAGATATTGAGTAACAAATTGGGTGTTTATTAACTAAATATTACGTAGTAAAAATGCAGTAATTAAGAACTAGCTATAAACTAATTGTAAGCAAGAATGAGAATGGTCTAAGGTTATGATTTCCCCTCTTGTCGGAATCCTTTCCGCTATGTTTGATATAAATTTGCCTAAGTCTTCGCTATCGATCATGAGCACTCTGACTATCGTAACTCTCTCACGAGTAATTACAACAATATACTAGACATATTCTTCCGAATTACGCTAGCTGGCCTTAGTTACAGCTCACTTAGATCGCACCCAAGGTTTCGTTATCCCTAATCCCACCTTTAAACCTTTCGTATTGATCCCTCATATACGCTAGGAGTGATGTTGTTCAACAACTACCTAAATATACACTCTTTCCCGAGTAATGCATACTAAATAGGCACAACCGATTGAGGGCCCTTCAATCAGCAGCAATCACAATATAGTTCAACAAATAGAGAAATTATTAGGACAAATCTATATTAACATAACGCGAAATTCATCCTCCAAGAGGTTCCATCAAAACCCTAGATTAGAAGTTTAGCTACGCATAATCGTTTTCACAATCATAATGATATAATTCATCCTCAATGGTAAAAAAAAAGAAGAAGAAAGGTAAAAACTCTATGCCGAATCTTCCGCCTTGCTTCTTGCCTATTCTTGCCTTCAAAAACACTTCAAAAATCTCCTCTATTTGGGCGAGCTGGGCTTCTTATAGGTCAAGGAGAGTCGTCCTGGAAATTACACAATTGACCTTGCAATGTTTGGCTTCGAGCACCCCGTCCGTGGCCGCGGATGGACGGCGGATTGACCACGGATTTGACATATGTTCTGTCCGCGACCGCGGATTGACCGCGGACCTGGGCGCAAGGGCGCGGATTTCATCCTTGCTCTTTCTTCTCTTTTTCGATCGTATTGTCCTCTGATTGGCCTTCCATGCTCCATATTGACTCCAAAATACTCTTTTAGATTTCTCCTAGCTCAGAGTGGCTCCTGCAAAGCAATAAACTCGTAATTAGAGCATTTTGTTATCTTTTACGATCAAACATAGGTAAAGTGTGGCCAAATTAGAGTGTAAATATTAGCTAACTTGCATGATTATCATCTATTATCAACACCCTACACTTAAATCCTTGCGCGTCCTCGAGCAATCAAGCCACACTCTACAACGGCCTAACTTCACCAAGTGACTCCCCTAACTCGTCACACCAAGAACATTTCACAAGAACTGAGCTCAGTAGTGTAACATCTTTGCCTCGAGAGCAGACTCTCCGATGCCACCCAATATTCCTAAATTTACTCACTTACTCTAGCGCAGAGATTAAGACTCACCTTTCCTTCATGAATCAAGTGAACTTTCATAACACGTGAGAGTGGTTCCATACACAATAACATTTAAGAACAATTAGGAACTCAAAATAGAAAGAATTCACTCACTTTCAAGAAGAACATTCATATGCCACAAAAATGCACCATAGGCTTGCCCGTAACTACTCCACTAATTCAAGTTCATTCAGTCTAAGATCAATTAGGACTTCATTTGGTTGTAATGTAGGTTGCGGGACGGGCATGATACATTTAGGTATAAGAGTGACTACACCTCCCTAAGCACTTTAATACATAACCTTTATCATTTAAAACCTCACACCTATGTCAAACCATAACTCCACCTTCATATCACTATATATTAACTCCACTCTTCTTTAAGCACAATTACATCAAGAGCCACCCCTTATCAAGAAACTTTTTTTTTACAACAATACACTATTATTTTCTTTCTCTTTCACTTCAAGTGGCTCTTACTTGTTCAAAACAGTGCACTTTTCTCCTTATTTCATTAGTTCCACTCAAAAGCCAAACCACCCACCCCACACTTTAACTTTTATGAAGTTCAGACAATTCAAGTGCTCATGAGAGGTAAAGGGTTCAAATAGATGATTAAATTCAAACGAATGGGTAAGGCTTGTAATGTGGTTGCCAAAGAAATAGGATTACAGGCTCAAAGGGGTTAACTACGATACATAACAATTAGGCGGGTAAAATATATATATCTGGCTTAACAAAGAAATGCCTATATTATTTTCAAGACTGAACCAACTACTATTTCGTTTTGCAAACACACAGGGCAAGTTCTAGGCATCCAATGCAGTACACAGAATACAACAATCCTCATACACACATGGCATATTACTCACTCCAGATTGGATCATCGAAACGCTCCAATCAGAGTACTTAAGCCAAATTAAGAACATACAATTTAAGGCACTCTAGTAAGAATCAACAACTGAGCCTAAGCGTCACACTAATGTATCTACTGTATTCAAGGCATAATGACGATAAGGGACCGTCCTTCCATATCAGCCCTTAGCCCACAAGTACCTAAAAAAGAAAAACTAACTAACACGGTTCAAACAAAAAACCCTTAGAAAAGAACTGCGGTTAAAAGAAAAACCAAGGAGTAATTTATACACTACCTACAAAAGAAATTTTTTTTTATATATCGACTTAGACCCTCAAGAAACCCGTCAAGTGATATCCGTCGTCGGGACAAGTCGAACACATTTAGACTACTAACCAAAAACGAAAATCAAGCTAACCAACGACTACAATAAAATTAACCAAAGACTACAATCAAACTAGAATCAAGCTACATTTCTATATATACACAACATACCAACAAAGTAACCCCCACCCCACACTTAAAAAAATGTCATGTCCTCATGTCATAAAATAGAAAGTAATGCGAGGCAAAGGAACTTCCCTGGAAGATCAGTCTTGATCAGAGACTGTGCCGGGGTCTAAGTGACACGCTCTCCCCAGCGCACGCAGCCAGCCCATGATTTTCTTCTTTGATTTAGCATTCTGGGTGGCCAAGGCATCAACTCTTGTCCCCAAGTCTGTGACTGTAGTCCGTAGCCCTGCCATTTCCTGCTCTAAGGCTGCTAGCCGTGTGACCCGACCAACCCCGGATGGCCCTTCAGCTTGCACAACATGCTCATGGGAGGGAGACGCAGCCCCCACTTCATCCTGCTCATCATCCTCCTCCTGAGATGCCTCAGAATCATCACTATCAGTTGAACTAGCTGCCACTGCCTCTTTCCCAATGGTCACCTTGGAAGCTCGAAATGTGGTTTCTTTCTTCACCTTGTCGTCTACATGGGGGTTCTCTGCTACCCCTACAGCCCGACACAATCGAGTGACCAGAGATGCAAAAAAGAACCCATACCTCCGCAGTGGTGAATGGGTGAACATCTCCGAGTGAATAACCTCGGCCACATCAAAATCGTGGCCATTGATAAAGCACCAGATCAAAGCAACTCGTGGTCCATTGACTTCAGTGGTGTTGTGGGACGACAGTCGTCGACTGTTAATGATGTACAACTAACACTTGCCTTCAATGGTGAGCGAGGAGGAGTGCAACTTCGATCCCTGAGTAACCCACACTACCTCCTTGTCTGGTTTACAGATAGTTTGGAAAAACAATTCCCACTGTGTGTCTCGCTTGTAAGTGTCATAGTAATCCCCCTCCCCAGTAAATGCAGGCAAGCGATATACTCGCCTGATAGCTTCACTCAAGGCATTCACCCTCTTTTGTCGCACCATGCAAACATGATCCTCATGTTCGGGACAGTTGGCGTAGAACTCCCTAACAAGCAACAAGTTACCATCCTCTGGCTCTTCGAAGAAGATGTCGATCCTGCATCTAGTCAGCTCCCTAAACATATTGGGGCACTCAGCCTGGAGGGAACCCCTTTCAATTCTCCGTTCTGGTACCGGCTTTCTAATACCCTTTTCAACGAAACGGTCTTGGGCAGCTCTAGAGACAAATCAGGCGCTATCAAACTGCCCTAAACTGGATTATGCCCGTGCCCGGGACGACCACCGGTAGCGCTTCTCTTCTTCGAAGATCTCATAGTACCTACACCACAATCACAATTATCAAGAGTCAGCGGAATAGGTGACCCAAGAGTGGTAACTCAGACTTCACG